CACAGACGTTTTGCAGCCTTTCCAGCTCACATCCCTTCCTCTTGCCTTCCATGCCAGCCATCCTAGACACAAAGGCAACATCAGTTGGGCAGCACCTTCCAACAATGGTCTTCTCTCCTGAGCATGGAAGTGAGCCCTCTGTCACCTCTTGCCCACCTCTGCACATGTGGCTACACAGCACATGATTGTACAAACCAAGCAGTGATGGGTTGAACAGATCCCAGGCACAATCAGCCCACGTCAGTATGTAGGTATGATAACCTGTCACGCACCAAGAACAAAGAGAAGACTGTTGACGGCTAGTGGGCGACATGAAGCCATGGGAGGCGAGAGGGCAAAGGGCGCTAGGCGTGCATATTTGAATTCTGTTCCTTATTTGAACCATCACACTCAGTTTAATGGTAGGATACGTGTCTGTGTGTGCGTGTTAAGGTAGGTCCTCAGTCACTCTCGCCACCTACTTGATAGTGGAAAAAGAAGAAAAGTACGCCCTTGTGTACCAGTGGGTGTATTCCCTCAAAGCTAAGGTAAAATAAACCTGAATTCTTATTATTTGTATTTTATTTAAATGGGTAGAAGACAGAACCTGACATAATAGAACCCTTCCTGCATTATCACTGACCATGCAATCATGCGAAATCTCACCTTCTCCCTTCATATCCTCACAGCTACTAGAAACGTGTCACTGACAGCATGTACCCCAAAGAAGAGGCACACCTACAGGGTACAAGCCTGGGGTGGGGCTGTACTACTCACTCTCATTAAAACAAACAAACAAACAAACAAAAAACAATTGCAAATTGAGGGAGATCCCAGAGTGAGTGGCATGGCACCGCCCTTCAGAACAGAAAGCAGCTCCTGGCCTGAAAGATCTTTCCTTGGATCAGGTGGGGGTTTTTTTTTTGCCTTTCATTCTCAAAGCAAAGTACTTAGAAACAATGCATCATGGCTCAGTAAGACAGGAGAATTCTGTCCCAGTTTTGGAAACTCAATTTAGCTTGGGCAAGCAGCAGAGTCTTTCGGAAGGGCCATTACTCATAAATCTCTCCTTTGGATGGAAGGTCCCCTCCACCCCCACCCCACCCCCTCCCCACAGCTGTTCTTCTCTTGCTGTCTCTCTACTTCTATTCGTTAATACAAAAATCTAACCCAGGTCTCTCTAAGTGACCAATTTCAGGTTACATATACATCAAACACCCAGACAAGAGAGATTCTTTAGCAACAGTAACAGGTGATTAGGAATGAGCTCTGTGCTTCTGTATTTATAAACATGTTTGGATTTAATTTTGCTGTCTAGACTGCAAGGATCTGTCACTGGGGCCATGAACTATTGTTTCACTGAGTGGAAAATTACATCAGGAGCAAAGTTCCCCAGCCCCTGATTCAGCAGACAGCCTAGGATCTTCTGTCCACAGAGCCTTGGAAATCTCCAATCACCCACATTGTAATGTCGGGGCTAAAGAGATGGCTCCGTTGGTAAAGGTGCTTACTGTATACGTGTGAGAGAGTTGAGTGCAGTCCCCAGGACCCATGTGAGAGCTTTGGGGCTCAGCAGTGCAGTCTGGTATACAAAGCTCTGGGGAGATGGAAATGGGTGGATCCCCAGGGCTCCCTGGCCAGCTAGCCTAGCAAAATCAGTGAGCTCCAGGCTAGGTTCGGTGAAAGACTTTGTCTCAAAAAAAAAAAAAAAAAAAGGTAAAGGGAGATACCCTCCACACCTCCACATACATGTACACATGTGCAAATGTACAGGAGCATATATACACACCAAAGAAATCATAACCCTAATATTTAAAGTAAAAACTGCCACCGTGGCTGGGGAGGTGGCTCCACGGCTAAGAGCACCTACTGTTCTCCCAGAGGATCTGAGTTCAATTCCTAGCACTGACAATGTTGGCTCACAAACACCTGCAACTCCAGCTCCAACTGGATCTGTTGCCTCAACCTATGCAAACACCTACTCATGGACTCATGGGTACAAACTCCAACACACACACACACAGTAAGAGAGATAAAATTAAAAATAATAAGAATAGACATTTTAAATTAAAAGCTGCCACCATACTTTAAATGACTATACAAAGTCTAGAAACATGGGGGTGGGGGGAGGCACTAGGCTTTACTGGGCTGATACCTCAGGAGGATGAAGAGGACTTTGGAAGTGTTCAGGACAGTAAGAAAGTAAGAAATGGATAGGTGTCATATTTCACATCAAATCAGCTACAACAATCTCCAGAAACCTAATCTCTAGCCCTCTGGAGACATCCTTAAGTAATACAGCCTCAGCAGAGCCCAGAAGGTAGTCCCCTTCTTTGTTGCATCTGTGTTTTGTGATAGAAACTGTCCCAAGACCCATAGATCACGTCTGTCAAGGCTTTATCTATCAAATGGAGGCCTCAACTAACTCTGTATTTAGAACAATAGCATGTTGGCTTGTAGGCACTAACTGGGAAATCCTGCTTTTAAAGATACTAGGGACTCCTGTGCAGCGCTCCCGGCCACTTGCTGCTTCTTGCTACACGTATCTGTTCTCAAGGGTCTTTGCTCCTTTAACATACGTAGGCAGCTTTATTGGATATTAACAGGAAACATACATTAACATGATAGATGTCCCTTGATAATTGTTCTGACAGAGTAAAATAACTTGAATTTTAATGTGATTTAATACTAAGCTAAATCAGAAATTCCAAGACCCGGGAACTTGTGAATAAGAAATTAAGTAACTCTGATTCTTTGGGGAAATGTGTTCTGATCCACATCTAGAACATTTTAGAGCAGTCTTTTTTGGCCTATAGCTAGCCTTTGCCTTTGCTCGTTTTTAGAGATAAAAGCCCCTCACAGGCTTACTAACATAACAATGTATTATATAAAAATATACATAGCAGCTTTTCCTCAAAGGTGTACCTTGTTTATAATAATTTGGATTTAAACAGTACCATTATCCTATAATTATTGAATAATCTCTCATTTCTTTTTGCCACTTAGGAACAATTTTTTTTTTTAATATCTAGGCTTGTATAATGAAAAGCCTTGTTCACAGCACCTTGAATTTTTCCATTTGATTAATTTTTATACCTCCATGACCACTGATACGAACCAACTTTTAATTGGCCAAAATCCCAGCTTTTGAATGGCAGAGAGGTGCACTCTCCATAAGAGCCAATCATGTCTGTGGGTGCAAAGCCCAGGGATGCCCCGAAGGACCAGGGGCATGGCAGGAGAAAACCATTGTGCTGCAGCATAGGTCAGAGGAGACCTGGTGCTAACTTGGCCTTCACTGTGCCTCACCACTAGGCTTCAAGCTACTTAGGTATCCAGGGTTCATACTGGAACAGGAGGCTTAAAGTGTGGGCCAGGGACAATCTCATAAAAGATATTATAAAAGATGTAGTAGAATCATAAAAAGTTTTATTCCCTTTTTAAAATCTTGTTCTCTCCCAGGTACATGGTGGAATTTTCCAGAAGCTGCATATCACAGGATATTACCACAGACTGAATGCAAAAGCAGACAGAAAAACCCAGCTGGCCTCTGTTGGCCAGACATTAGCAAAAGATATAAAACACTACCCCTCTTTGTACTAAATATGTTTTATGCTTTAAAATAGCTTTTCATAAATAAAAATCTCTCGAGTTAACAAGTAGAATGTTTATTACTACTCACTAATAAGCAAACTTTTAAAACTTGCTTCATTTTCAGTCCAGGAAGAGGAGCCATCACTAGACAAGCCAGAGTTCACCAGAGGTTTGTGAGGTTTCCTAGCACTCTAGAGGTTACAGAAAAGTTACAGTAACAAGTTGGGAACTCTGAGGAGTCTTTGGGCTGTAAAAGCCATGGTTCTAAGACTGGGAGAGTTTGTGGATATGAAGAGGAAACTCAGCGGGAGCCTCAGTGAGGATGGTCCTTCCTCACTTAGGACCAACAGCTCCACCCTTTCCTCCTCCCTTTTAAACTCCATCTTGCTCTCTCCTCAGCTTTCTGACCTCCTTGACTGTCCCACATGCTCCCAAGTCCTGCACAGGAGACATAAATGTTCTGGACCTAACATGAGGCACCCACAGGTTCAAGAAAGACCTATCGTCCTTCCTTCTAATCCCAACTCTGATAAGGTCATTGTCCAAGACTATAAGATGACTTTTCTACCTCAACAGCTTCAACCCCGATCAGGACAGCACAGAGGGATGCTCTCCGCGCCAGTCCTGTTTGTTATCTGCATCAGTTCCACCCATTTAGAGGCAATAGGGGTTTTCCACAAAATGAGACCACATTTTGTAATTCATAAAATTTAAGAACATCCAGAATCTTTCATCCTTAGAGCAGCCTTACAGCCCTAAGGGCTTATGGGTAAAGGGGGTCACCACTATGCAGTGTCCTCTGTCCTATCCCAGTCTTCCACACCACTCTTTAGTTTCCATAATATTAAGCTTATTCCTGCAACTAAGTATAGTCATGGAGCCTGGAAAAGAGAAGGCACATGTTCCACGTACCCTATGTTTTTATTTGTGGATGAGTATCTGTAGTAAAAGATATAATCCTGCCTCAGCACCGCCCCGAGACCAGCACTGGATTCTGAGTGTTCCGAAGGGCAGAACCCAGTTTCCCACTCCTCCCTCCAGGAGTTGAGTCTTTCACAGTTTTCAAAGCACTTATCTCATTTGATCTCATTTTAGCCTCTCGACAACTCGGGGTGGATTCTCACCAACCCTAATGAAGGAAGCAGAGAACTATATTTGCACTGTAATTAACATGTTGCCCAAAATGAGAGTCCTCTTCTGGGAGGGAAACTGCTCTTAGGATTGCATTTAGCTTGTTTGGTTTTTCTTTTAAAGCTGGACCATAGGGCTCACTGTGAGTTGCTAAAAGCCACTCTAAACCAAACCCCGGGCATAAAGAGCAAGCTGATTTGGGCAGAAGGCATTGGAAGGCATTGTTCAGAGTCCCAGGAGCCCAGGAAGATGCAGATGGGGGAGGGGAGGTAGCAGGACCTTTCCGGTCATCTTACCATTATCTCCTGACGTCTTGTCTTTTCCGTTGGTCGCTCCGGCACTTTGTCTCTATAAACATTTTAAGAAAAGAAAAAGAAATGATCAAATATTTAGGACTGCTTTGTTTTTGTTTTGTTTTGTTTTTATTTTCTGCTAATTCAAATATCTCTTGTGTCACATTAAGTTCAGGGTCACCATAGCTTAGATAGTTAGATTACAGGGCTGGTGTTGGTATCAGGCGCCGAAGTCTAACAGCTGGTGAGACCATGAAACTAACTCCCACCAAGGACCTGCTGAAGTTGCCTGCCGCCTCCCTCATCAGTGCCCACTGCTGGCTGAATACAACTCAGGAGTTGCACAGAAAGCCAGACAGTGAGGGTTGTTGATTAAGCATTACCCTCATCCAAATAGGAGACAAGTAGCCAAGGCTGTGGGCCAACCACAGAGCTGCTGAGGCTGGCCTAACACCACCCACTCTGTTCTCCTAACAGGCACAAGGGACTCCTGTGTTCATCACCCTTCCCACTGCTGATCCACTTTATCCATCACTGTCTGTGACTGTCCTGGGTATTTCTATTTGTCCAGTTTGGCAAGAAGTATGAAATGCATTATGAGTTATTTTTAAATATACTCTTTACTGTTTGACAGCTTTGTGAAGGTTTACAGTAAATTTTAGTCATCCCTAATTAAACTCAGTATGAAGAAATAACTTCTAAGGTTAGATTTACATCAATCTGGGAGATTCCGTGATGTGTGAGATGTAACACACATGTAAGCAGAAAGCACATCCCTTTGTAGTTTATTAGGGTAGTTATTCTGATCCAGGGAGGAAGATGCATCTTGTCAATCCAAGTGTTTTTGGCAATTGTCAGAATTATCAATTATCAGAAATGACAATTATCAGATGCATTGATTTGAAAACACAGGAAGAGGTTGCAATTTACAGGAGAAGGAAGTGGGATCCATAGGAAGTATGATCTGTCCAAGGTCATAGTGCCAATGAGTAGCAGGAACCTGGGCTCCTTTCCCAAAATATGGTGTCCTGTGGAAATTACCACTGTGACATAACTACAGTAAAGGGGTCTTGGAAAGACAGCCACCAGAAATGACAAACCACATTAAGTGACCCCTAAGAAGTAACGGTAGCCTCAGAGTTTACACCTGGGTCCAAGACTCCAGCCTAGAAACCATCTCCTAGGAGAGGGAAATCAGTACCCTTCAATGCTCAATGTTGTCATAAGAAATTTTTGGGTCGTTAATCAATGGTGACTCATGGAACACAGATCCAGGTTCTAATCAGTGTAAACAGAGTCAATGATAAATATGGATGACAGTGTAGTTAAATGTCCTCTGAATGCTTCCTAACCCTGAGCAAATGATAACCCCAAGAGAGCTCACCAAAGGGTACCCCCTCATATTTCACCAATACCCTCGTCCCACATCCTTGTCAAGAAGAAAGCAGACATCCACCTGGTTAAAGATGCTATGCTCCACCCAGTGAGGGAAACACCTATCTGGATGGAATAGAGAAGAGAGGCGAGGTGACAGGAAAGATCACAGAAATGCTGGCCCCTTCTTCATATTTAATTTGGAACCTTTGAGTTTCCACAGTGAAAGACTTACCAGCATTCATCAATTATCTCATGCCATCGCATGCATCTCCTAACTGACGGAAGCTGTAACCTAAACAGCTTAATTTAAACCAGATAGCTCATTCCTTTCCTGGAGCAGATGTACAGCCACCAACAGCCATTTCTTTTCATCTGTCCTTAATCTGATGCCACCTCCTCGGGTCCTCTGTCATACAAAACTGGTAAATGTGTGGCTTTTGATAGAAATGAACTTCCCAAATCAGAGATGCAGGAGCCACCCTGGGTATGAACAAGCCTGATATCTAAGCCTTTCCTTGAATAATTCATAGATGGGTGAAGATAAAAGGGAAATTGTGCAGCATGAAAGGTGAGATTTTCCCAGGCAGAATAAAGACAAATTAAATGAAATACACGTGCAAAGTGGGTGCGGCATCTTAAAACGCCTTCCGCACCAATACCTTTTAGATACCACAAATGCCACCTGGCTCCATAAAAGATCACTTTTTAGAAAACCTGAGAAAGACCAAATGAGATTCGCAGAGGGAAGAGAAAAGAGTCATTCTCTGAGGATTTGTAAGACGGAGTTTTTGTGTCAGCTCTTGTATGATGGAAGCAAAATGGAGCTGATAGTTGTCAGAGGAGATGCTGTCTCAGACCAGAAAATGATCCTGACAGTGAAAGCACGTCATTGAAGCATCTTGTTTCAGGGACCCAGTGACATTTTCAAAGGAAGATTGAGTGCAGTAGAGGGTGCCCAGAAGTGTCTATATCCCCCAAGTCTGGTCTTTACACATGTTCATTTTACTGTCCTATTGTATGGAGTGACAGGTGTCCCTGAACTAAGGAGCAAAAGGTCTAGGCGAGGCCCTGGGGCTGCCAGACACATCAACTGTGTGAATTCTGACAGTGTTTTTAATGAGGTATGTGTTCTCACCAGCCTCACTTTACCCATTGTATCTTAAGACACAGAGCGCAACTTTTGCACAAAGCAACAAAGCATGATTATAATCCAAAGACCAGGTGCTCAGGTCCCGCTGTTAGCCACTGTGTAGGAGTATCTCTTTACACTGTGCATCTCATCTCCCCTAAGCCAGCACAACAGCTAGGGAGACCAAAGAAGGGAATTCATGTCTTAAGGTTAATGTGGCCTCATTCGTGCCCACAGGTTACACGTATCAAGAACACTTGGATTATAGGAAGAAGTAGCCTGACCAATAACTAAGGGCTGAATAGTAGGATAAGTCTAAGGTTGTTTGTAAGATTATAGATAGCACAAGTACCAGAGATAAACTATGCTGAAACAGGTGACTATGTGTCTAGAAGAATGGATGGATTGATCAATGGATGGACTGGTGGATAGATTGATCAATGAATGGACTGGTGGATGGATTGATCAATGGATGGACAGGTGAATAGATTGATGGATAGATGGATAAATTAATGGATATGTTGTAAATGGATCAATGTACAGAATAATAGATGGATAGATCAATGGATCAATGGATGTATCAATTAATAGGTAAACCAATGGACTGGTGGGCAGATGGATGGATAGATTGGTGGATAGATAGATAGATATAGATCAGTGGGATCAATTGGTGAGCCAATGGACCAACAGATGGATGGATGGATGGACGGACGGACGGACGGATGGATGGATGGATGGATGGATTAGTGGATGGATAGAACAATGGATGAGTGGGTAGATAGATTCATGAATAATAGATGGGCAGATGCTTGGTAGGTAAATGGATATATGATAGATAGGTAAGTGGATGTTTGGGTAGGTGAGTGAATAGATAAACAAAGGTCATAAAGGAGAAGCAGAGAAAATTTTATTTTTCATGAAAGGATAGAAGTGCCCAGCATTAGGAAAGAGGCTGCCTTTTCATTCCACCCCCACTCTCCTTCTCCACCAGCTCTAACTATGACATCATTGTCCTGAGACCACATTACCCACTGAGCAAAACATCAAGAGTATAATCTATTATAAGTACATCAAGTGGTGAAGGAAAAAAAGACATAGTGAACAGGTAAATCCTGGCTTCAGATTTGGGAATTCTGAGTTCTTTTCTAGGAAATCAGAAATAGCCCCATGATATTATGTATGCCACCACAGTTTTCCAGCTCGGATGTCCACATAACTTAATAGATTAGCATATGCAGAAGACAGAGAAAGGTCACTCTAGCAAGTACACCTGGCTACTGTTTACCATCCTAATTGCCAAATTACCACCATTAAAGTCAGGTATTAAAAATATACTTTCAGAATAACCAAAAAACACAAACACTAGTGTGTCTGAGAATTTTGAGGCCATGTCCTTCCACAAGCAGAAATCTGATTGGATCTTTTCTGGCGTCTCTAGAGAATTAGTCTAAGGCGGTGGAACCAAGAACAGGGAGAGGCGACATGCATGAGGATTTGCTCATTGTCTCTTCTGGAGGTAGGCGTGGGGCAGTGCCCCTAAAAGCCAAAAGTCAGCCTCTACCTCAACCCCAACAAAACCCGAATCCTGAGACCTCATCATTCCACTCCCAGGAGACTGCTGAGCCTAGCCATCTGCTTCTTGACAAGGTACTGGACCAGGTGGTCTCATTCAGGTCCTCGGCTGCACACCACCTCCCTCATCCTATTCTAGCAAATCTACTTTCATAAAATATGCACAAGTGGGATCCTCTGGTGCTCTCTGTTCCCTCAGATATGGTCTTGTTTCACAGGACAAATGTCTGGGAGAATGAAAACCTCTCCCTCCTTCTGTGATCTGAGGCCAGCATCCCTTCCTTGCTTCAGAAGCCATCTCTGTGACTGTCCTCATCCGATGCACAGCTCCCTCTTCACACACGCTAAAGCCATGACCCTGCTGTCATCTGCAGACACCTCTTCTAGAAACACAGGGCTCTCTGTAAGATGCAACATTCAACTCAGTTTTGCTCTTATCATACAAATAGCCAGGCTGCCAATTTTAATATCAACCTTAAGATGCGATTAAATGTGCTAAAAACCCACAGGACTTTAAAAGCATAATGTGAAGGTCCCCTTTCGCTCAGCCTCAGGTTAGTAGTAGGATGTGTCTAAGAAGTTTAATAAGGGGATAGAAAACCAGAGAGGCCTAGATAGAACCGTCACTCTAGCTCAGCCATCTGTAGATGCTTCCCAGGCAACTTGGAAATGAAGTTTTCCTTCCCCACCAATGCTCACTAATGAAAATAGAACATTCAAAAATTTAATGAAGCCTCAATTAAAAAGAACCAACAATTGCGAGTATCAAAGAGCCCTGTACCTTTAAATGTTTCTTTTGATAATTTTATATATTCCTAGTATCCATTAAAAGGTAAGAGAAGTTGTCTTAAGATACAACTTTTGAAGTAATTTTTCCTGACAGTCTCATTGCACCAAGATCTGTGGGAAATGTGTGTGTGTGTGTGTGTGTGTGTGTGTGTGTGTGTGTGTGTGTGTGAGAGAGAGAGAGAGAGAGA